CCATGCCTCGGTGCCGTTCGCTTGCCGTTGTCACTGGCACCGATGCCGAGAACAGGACGAGCTCAGAAGACAGGTCATCTCACGCTCGAGACACCCACGAGCTCTCCCCATTTTGCGTCGACTGCGCGCGCCACCGAGCCGCTGGGTCAGTCGGCTGACGCAGATGGCATCCGGAAACAGCTACAAGACAAGATGCACCGTACCTCGTGATCGTGGAGTTAGAGCTTGTGCACCGAAGCTGGGACAAGAGGATTAGTAATCCTTCTCGAGAGGATATCGGCATGGAAGACTTGCGACATCCGTGAGCACGAGGTGTCTGGTGTCTCAGATTCTGGATGCTCTCAATGGCGAGGCGGCAGCCCGGATTCCGGTATTCCGGTGAATTGCCCCAAGTTCAAAAGATCTCCCGAGGAAGCAGGAGATACACATCATCATCGTCAGTCAGTTGTGCAGGAGCGGTGTGGGTGTGCACCGAAAGTTGAGATCTGGACCACACCGCGCAGCTGCGATGCGACCCGCCGCGATTCCAGTCACAAGTCACCAAAAGGAGCGTGACGCCCTTCTCCTGTGGAATCATCTTCTCGGGTGCGCTCATGACTTGCTCTGCCAATGGACGGGCTCATTCGTACTTCTCTCGGAGGGATAGGAATCGCCCGAAGCGCCAGGGGTTTCGGGGCGCTGAGGAAGATGTCATGGCTCGGTGCAACTGACAGACCAGCGGGCCACTCCGGACCTGATGTGCAGGGTCGTGCTGGTGCGGCGAGCCTGACGCTGACCACTGAACCGTATCCGCAGATCGCGCTAGCACGCTCCCGCCGCACAGCAATGTCAGCGAACGGCGTTGTGGACTTCGGCGCCAACTTGTTTCCGAGCCGCGCTTGCATCACGCTGTCCCAACCGATGCACCACGATAAGATGAGGGTCAGCATGCTTCAGCAGAGACTAGGAAGCTTGATCCCGGGGCCTTGTGTCTGGGGACCTGATGCGTGCGAAGCGCTCAAAGTCTGGAACTGTTAAGCTAGAAAGCTAGAAACGCATCGTCCCACTGTTGCCTGCTTCCTGTTTCCGGAGCGTACGGGCGGAGGATGCGCCGCAGACTCCGGTGACTGAACAATCATGCGCAAAGCTTGCTATTCAGAGAAGAGAGCCGAAGAGGCCCAGAAAGAGGGTCGCGACACGAGTCAATTGTCAACGCCTCCCAACGAAGCCCAAAGGAAGTCCAAAGGAAGCGACAGAAAGATCGATGGGAACTGGTCCGATCATCTGTATCGCATTACCATCTTGAGCGGGGTTGCCGTCTCTGCCCGTCAGCTGTCTGTCGATGGCTCGGTTCGCGCCTCGGATGTTACGCGTTGAGATTTGGACCCATCAGAGTTGTAAACAATTACAAAAGTGCTTCCGAATCCGAGAAAGTTACCGAATCGTAAACACTCGTCACGCCGCCACCATCAAGCGGCGAGGCTCGCAGCCGCAAGGCCGTAAGCCGTAATGGTCCACCTCACCTGAGCTTAGACCAGCGCCGCCGCTTCAGACATGAGACTGAGGGACGGTGGGGAAGGTCCACCCTCAACTTTCCCAGCGGCGGCCAGTGATGGCTTTTACCCCCCGTGTTTCAGATGCACCCAGTTTCTGTCACTGCGATGACGCGAAACGCACAATGCCCAGAGCTTCCCTTCCATTGAGGTTATCGGCCCATGGAGCTGGGTCATGAGAGCATGCTGCTCCACCCCGAGGACTGGACTCTGCTCGCCGCTAACTCATGCGGAGCAGCTCAGCGCCCCCGTCTAATCTCGGCTTGGCCGATATTTCTCAGGTCAACAACAAACCGTAGGTCCGTGCACACAAGCGCTTAGTGAAGCGAAACAATCATCTCGTAGCGAGACGGGCAGGTGACAAGCGGAGATGCGACATCCATGGCCGACGCCGCCGCGGGCAGCCCCATGACCAAGCAATCAGAGTTTTGATCATGAGCACAAGAGTGACAAACACTTACCAAATGATGAATTTTCGGCCAGGGATCTGTGAGTGTGGCCGCTCAGCTGCTCGGTCTCTCGAGAGCATTGCGTGAGCCGTGCCGTCAGCCAAGGTCAGTTTGGAGAGATCGAGAGGAACGAGGAACCGATGATCACTGCAGCCCACATCTGCGACTGCGAGCGGGTTAGGGCCCGCAAAGACTCGCCGCATGCTAAGAGGACGGTCCGTCAGCCGAACTTTGGGCCGCAAATGACCCGCAAGCTGTACGCTACGACCGGCACCGCAAGCCACTCGCCGTCGGTGCCGAGCTTCCGAGCCCGAACCGTGTCACACCAGCTCCCGGTGCCGGTGGCGCGCAGCGCATGGTGCAGTGGCGATGAAGGTCCGGTCTGTAAGCGCGCGGCCGTCCAGCCATATACGAAACTCCCGACGCATGCCAGCCATATAACGATCGAGGATCGAGGGGGGATTTCCAAGCTGTCCAGCATTCCTGCGCCGTTCGGAGGCGGAGGCTCGGAGCAGCGAAAAGGTCCAGAACCCACTCTCACGGTTGTACCTCGTGTACCTGGGTCATGTGTTCAAGTGTCAGATTTCATGAGATCTTCCAGCTCCAGCTCCAGTGCTTGAGGGAGTACGACAATGCCTCTCGGGGCTTTAGCGATGCAAGCGTCCTATGGCTGGCCACTCTGTCAGCTTCTGGGCTCGCCCAGGGCGCTTGAACGGTGGTGGTTGAATTGTATCATGCGTCCGATTACTGGATTAGGGAATACAGGGACGCCAGCAAGCTTGGAACACGACGAAATGATGAACCTAGTTTCCGGAATGGCCTTGGACCTCTTGTCTTCAGCTGTTCCGGGTCTGCCGGCGCTGACGCCTGCCATGTCGTATGCCGTACATGCTGTTCTGCCGTGTGCCCGGCCGCCATCGGCCAGCTACGGCACCATTCCCTCGGTCAGTCATCGCCCGCCGCCAACCTTTGGAGTCGCTCCAGTATTCTGTCCTGATCATTGGAGCGCTTGGAGCGGCGGCCTGGTTAGCGGGCCACAAGTCTGAAGCTTCTCCGAAGCCTCCTGCCGTCACCCTATCTCCTGTCTGCCCGCGCACAGTCAGATCGTCCAAGGAGAAGAGCAGAGGTAGATTCGTAAGCGCAAGCGTTCGTCGACGTAGCGCATACCTGCTGATTCTGCCGGATCCGTCAACACCTCATTGGCGGGCTGTGGGGGTAGAGTGACAACCGGTGACAACAAATGACATGAGATGACTCCCAGTGTGTGTGAAGTTGCGGGACCGAGCAGGAAGAACGAATGCTGACACCTCCACCTTGTCCACAACACACCCACTCATGCCCACTGCGTTTGCTTCAACCTGAAACACGAGCAAACGTTGAAGCGATGGCCTTTAAGGGCTTGCTCAGGGCTTGTCAGGACGAGCAGCGGCTGCGAGGTATGGGCCCGAGGTCTGTGACTGGTGCCAGCTGATCCCAGGGACGGCAGCTTAGGCTGATCATCGATGATCCTGGGACCAGCTCTGACGGCTGGGATTGAGCCTGGGACGAGCTGGGGACAAGCCTGGAACACCAGTCACACTGCACGGCGCAGGGTCCATGAAGTGATTACCTTTTGTTTGAGCAGCACTTGGACCCTGTTTCTGGTTGGCAGACCCTGAATTCCTCTCGAGAGGTTCAGGCTTGCGAGAGGCTCTCGGTCTGGCGCGCACGGTCTCAGGCTCTGTTGCATATCGCAGCTGGCTTCCGGGCTCTCGGTCTGAGACGCTCGCATCGAACTCTCTAACCCCTCCTGGCTCCTGGATCCTGGGCCGTCCTTGGACCTTCCCTTGGCTGCAGTCTCGGGCCTCCTGCCTCTTGTCTCGAGCTCATGACGGGTCGACTATGCCCCTCCGCCCACCCTCATTGACCTCCACAGCGTGCCCTCATGCCCTTCTTCCCCTTGTTACTCTGCGGCCAAGTCCTGACATTCTGCATGCTGCTGCTCTGCTGCGCTTGCTTCTGCGCTCGCCCTGCGTTGTTCCTTGTCCTAATCTATAACAGGTCGCAAGGTCTGGGCTTCGAGCGTCTCGTTTCAACTCGCTCCCAGCCCTACTTCCCTGCCTTCCCTCTCCACCTGACACACCAACACAGTCACCCACAACGGGCTACAACCGCGACCACAACAGCGTGAGGATTGGGACGCACGTCACATACACTCAGGCTTAGGCTCAGGTGCCCAGGTTCAGGTTCACGGTTCAGGTTCCCTTCGGCCGTCTGCCTCATTGTTCCTCCTTGGTCTGCCCGCCTGGCCGCTCAGTCGCTGCCATTCTGCCCCATACGGGCAGCGCATACGGCACTGCCAGTTCGTACGCCCGGCGACTCCGGACTCCAGGCCTCCCGATCCCATCAGCACTAGCGCGAGCAGCACCGTCTGCGCGCAGTCTCGACCTAGCCCTTACCCCGTGGCTTGCCAGGCGCCGGGTTTCCCTCGTCATTAACCTGGACCAGGTGTTACACCTTCCTCGCCTCCTCGCCTCGTCGTATATCCCCTCTGTCTTGCCTTCCTCCTTCCTCTTTCTTGCTTTTTTCCGGTCTCCACTTCCCTTTCGGCAGCTTCTCTTCGTTCTCCTTACTCCTTTCCTATATTCTTCGCCGTTCTTCATTCCGAGATCTCTTCCAGCGTTGAACGTTTACAGAGACTTTATATTTGCTATCGCACAAGCCCTCTCCGGTCCTTCCCCTTCGAGAGTCGCTAGTCGATCGCCAACCCCTACTCTGTCTGTGTCGACTGTGTTCTCCTGGCCGGCCCAGAGTACACACTCGCACCTAATTCATTGAGCAACAGCAGAATCACACATACGCCCGCGCACACACGCACACCGGTGCGGTCGAGTCTGAACCTCAGCCCGCCGCCCCGCAGTCTCCGACGCGTACACAAGGACTAGAAGAACACTTCAAGCAAGGTGTTCAGCAGGGCCAAAAGCTTATAGTTTGATCGTTACACAATCGCGTATCAAACCGCACAAGCCATCTTGCCATGATGGTCGACTACACGGACACGCCCTTTCCAGGTGACTATCAGCCTGGCCAGGTCGAGGCAACTCCATTTCTGTTCCAATCTCAGTTGCCAACACACTTCTCTCCAGCAACTTCCGACCAGTCCTTCCAGAACCCGCAGCCCGGTCACAATCGACCCGCAACCAGCACTGGTGTACCTGGAACTCCTCAACTCGGAGCGGCAAGGACATTAGGACCAGGTGGTGAGATGAACTTCGGACAGCAGCCTATGCAGCCCGGAGGTGGAGGAGGTGGTGGTCACAGCCACTCGTTCTCTACCGCTTCTCTCCCATCGCTTGCCTCGAGCTCAGGTTCGTTCTCGATGCCCAGTCACCCCGACAACCAGCCCGGCCAGATGTCCATGTCCGCTGGCCCCAGCCCAGTGGCGCCTGCTGCCGCCAACCTATTCACCGGCGGCCCTGGACCGATGCTCTTCAACGGTGGCGCGCAGCAACTGCAGCACCCCGACGGATCGAAACTCCAGGTGAACACGAGCAACATGACCCCCAACCCTCAACCGATGACCGCACCTCCGGGCCTCGGACTTGGTGTGACCATGTACCCGCCCACCCCCATGTCCGGTACTGTCCCACCTACTCTGTTCAGCTCTCCTGTTGTAAACAACTCCAATGTCTTTCCCGTGAGTTCGGAGCGGCCAAAATTCCGCGTCATGACGCAAGTGACTGGTGCTAATTCCATCCAGCCATCGCAGCCAAACTACCCGTTCATGGGTAAGATTCATGGCCGAGACAGAAGTTTCAGCCGTCCTGGGCCGTACCATGTCTCGTCCAGGTCCGGATCACTCTCCATCAAGTAGGTCGATGTCATCGACTGCGCAGCTAACTCGTTCCCCAGGTCTGACGCGGACGACAACTCCATCTACAGCTCAGCCAGCAATGCAAGCACATGGTCCACTAACACTACAAACATGATCGCCGGGGACATGGGTCAGATGACGCTCGAGCACCGAAGGTATGTGACTCTTGCTGGATCAAAGCTTACAATTCAGATCGAGTTCTACCCCCTTTGAGATCCCCTGTGGAGGTCATGTAGCTGCCCGCGGACGTGCCCGATCATTCTCTTTGGGCAAGAGCTCGACGAATAACCTCGACTTCTTAGAGGCCGATCTCGAACTCTCGGGCTCTGCGAGTGAAAGGGAAGGTGCGGTCCGTGCAGACTTGGCGAACAAGGCCGAGCAAGTTCGACGCCTCTCCCCTTGCCAACATGGCAAAGCCCGTGCGTTCTGGGCAAAGCGATGGTAAGTCAGAATGCGGGAAACGCCAGGCTAACGACCAGGCTCAAGCTGAGCTACACTCCTGTCAACGGCTTCACTGTTCCTAGGCAGGGCTTATACCACTCGTACACAATGTCGTGCAAAGACTTTGGTCTGCGACCCATCAACTCGGCGTCGTTTGGCAAGGTGGTCCGCTCGACCTTCCTCGGCATCCGCACTCGCCGCCTCGGTGTCCGCGGGAACTCAAAGTACCACTATGTGTCACTCCGTCCCGCGATTTCCACAGAGGCCCAGCGCTTAAACGCGTACGGTGATTCCAGCGGCCAGCTTCACATTGCCCCTCCCGACGGCGACTTCGGTTCTGAGGATGCCGGAGAGCAGGAGGTCCTTACGGAGGACGACTCCAAGGAGGATGACGATGACGACGACATTGGTCACCTGTCTGAGGGGAGCCGTTTCGGGGGCAACCTGTTCGGCCAACCTGGACAGCCGTTTCCGCTGAGCCACCGCTCGCGGTCCTCGTCGAGCGACGACTCGCTGGTCATTCGATCGGCGCGTCCAGCCTACATGGTCAGCCAGTCAGCGCCCTCTGGCATTTCTGGGGTGACGACGGGTGCACCAACCGGTGTGCAGCTTAACGGAGGTCACTCTGTTCCGCCGCCATTTCCCGTTCTTCCCGCCAACTCAAACCCTAATGCCATGGCCTTCTGGAACCGTTTCGTCCAGCAGCAAGACACTCTAGCCCAGTGTGTTGCGGACCACCAGTTCGACCAGTTCGATAGCAACGTGAGTCTGCCGGCGCCATCCTGGATTTGAAGTGCATGCGGCTGACGCATCTCGCAGTATCGCACTTTTTGGGATCAGACTCCAGCGGATCAGTTACAGGCAGCGTCACAGCCTCCCGTTTCGACAATGATGGCTGATGCCACCGCCATGTCGTTCGACGTTAGTCTATCTGCGCTTCCTCGTAACTGACTCCTGTTGTAGCATTGTATATTGAAACTTGTCGATAACATCCTCCAACCCATTAAGCCTCAAGCCCATGCTTCCCTTTCCCTTCTTGCTCTAAAGTTCGGCAACATGGTTTCCGAGTCCTTGGCCTTGTTACCACCTGACGTTTCTGGACCTCTTGTTGAACTAGGAAATCATTGTAGCCAATTGATCTGTAAGTAACCGATCGAGAAGACTGATAACGGTCGTCTTCCGTCTTTATTCCCCGATGGTGCGGCGCTAACTCTTATCTCCAGCTCGTATTCTCAACCTCTACCAGATCACCTCTGCGATCAGCCCCATTCTTTCGGATCCCGACCACTTGGCCACGATGATCTCCTCTTGGCAGCAAACGGTCGACTCTAATTACATCATCAAACAAACCGCTGAGACTTGCGACTGCGGCGAGCCCATTGTGGAAGCCGCTCTGCTCAGTTTCCAGTCTTGGCTTTTCAACTTACTAACTTGTTATAATACGTATCACCCCATCGAGAAGCTCGCCGAGGTCGTCGACAGCGCCCTCGACGACATCCCCAACGCCTCTCCCAGGAGATCAATCGTCCCAAAGGGTGCCTATTTGACTTCTCAAGTCATGCGGCTTCTCACCCTGAAGTCGGACATCTCCTTCGGCTGGTTCCAGCTCCTCAAAACGTGGATCGACGACTACCTCCAGATCTCATGCTATCGACACGAGGTATTCTGCCCCAAGAATCCGCCCTCCGCCTTGGCCGCTTCTCCCTCCCACATCAAGGAGAGCCCTACTCTCTCAACAACTACTTCGAACCCCACCCCCAACCCGCCCTCCTCTACAACCGTCGACCCCAACACGATGATCGCAGGCGTAGGCGCCGCCGGCGTTGGAATTGGCATCGGGCAGAGCTCGAACAGTGGCAGCAGCCACTCACACTCCCACTCGCACTCTGGCCCGAACCTTGCCATCGACACCGTTACGGCCAACTACAATTCGGCGAATGCGCTTGACGCCAGTGCCATTACGCCTCGGCCCGCGTTCACCCAAAGCGGGATGGCAACGAGTGCCACAGGACCTGGCGTTGGCGGGATTGCAGGACCATCGGGGAACTCGAACATGGGGGGCTACCTCTGAGACTCCCTCATCCAAAACACCATCAATCAACCAACAGGCATCCATCCATCTAGTATCCGATCACACGCATCTCACACACATCATCAATACACTCATACACGATTCTCCATGGTTGCCATAATACAGGCATCCTCACCTCCACCGCGGCCACCAATTCAGCATCGGCCAACACCGCCACTGTTTCCATATACACGGACATTGTCAAGTGCGACGAGCGAGGGAGAGCGCGGAAGGCGGTCGCGCTGCTCACCTGCTCACATGTTTGGGGTCAAGAAGTCAAGACTGGCGAGGCGGGCCACGCTCTGGCAGCGTGCGCGGCCGCCTGCCCCACCATCTATCTGTCTACTATGTGCAAGCCTATACGCAGAGATTCAAGCGACAGCATGTGCGCGGAGAGAGATACATAGCAGCGAGTATGTGATAAAAACTGTATACATTAGGAGTAGGGAGCAGCAACGAGCGAGTCGTTTGCCGCAGCCGCTGCAAGTCTATGTTTATGAGTGGGTGTCCCGCCTGAAGAACTTGCGGAAGTCGCCGAACGCCTTGGGCGTCTCGGTGCGATCCGGCGCCTTGCTCCCGAGGCCGAGGGTCGGCGTTGTGTTGCCGCTGGAGAAGAGGCCGCCGCCGACAGTTGTCGTGGTCTTCTCGTCCATGTCCAGTTTCGTCAGGAAGCTCGAGTCCTCGAGGTCGTCCTTGGTTCGAGTGACAGCGAGGAAGATGTCGAGGAGCTTCTGCAGCTGCTCGCCCTTGAGGGTGCCCTTCAGGTCGAGGATCTTCTGGAAGTTGGAGAAGGACCGGTCTCCGATTAACAAGCAATAGTTCTGGACGAAGCCCTCTGGCACCTCATCAGGCGCAAGAATGACCTTGAGCATGGTCTCGAGCTCGCCCGTCGCCTTGGTGACCTTGGCGACGTACTTTTTGTGCTGATGAGACTTCTCCCCCTGTTCCAGCGGCGGGAGCTCGAGGAGGCATCCCTTGACGGCCGAGATGTCGAGGAGGAGCTGCTCGGCGCCAATCTTCTTCAGCGGACGCGAGCGCACAATCGCAGACGTGAACCGGCCCATGATCAGGTTGACGCACTTGTCGCTAAAGTTGCGCACGTACTTGGGGCTCGCTGTGCGTGTGCCCACTACGGCCGCGATCTCCTTCACGCTCCCCACCAGGTCGACGATGTACGCCGAGCGGCCCGAGACGTTCTCGAGGTCCTTCCACGGCGTGCGCAGCATGGCCGCAAAGCTGGGCTCGACGGCGTTCTCCAGCTCCTTCATGATGAGCGAGAGGCACTGCGCGATCGCGCCGTTGAACCCGTCCCGCTCGTCTTGGAACGAGATGCTGTCTGCCAGCTCGGGCTTGATCTTCTCCTTGACCAGGTCCTCTAACTGCACGGAAGTGTTGAGGCAGTACTCGGCCGTGTTCAGCACCATGCACGCGTTGCGCACCTCGGCGAGGTCGGAGCGGCCCTCGACGGAGCGGCGGGCGAGGAAGTCGGCAGGCGCCGGCTTCTTCATGCTCGCGAGCAGTACGTCGTCGCTATACACCTTGAGCCACTTTGCGAACACGCGCGCGAGGCGCTGCAGCGGCTCGCCCGTCGTGTACTGACTGCACTTGTCGAGTGCGGCGCGGTACACGTGGAACAGTTCCATGGAGCTCGGGAGGACGAGCGCCGTCGCGCCCTCGTCGTCGTTGCTGACTCCCTCAAAGGAGGCACGGCTGCGCATTCCCCGGTGCGGTCCCAGCGTGTCGGCGATAGCCTTGTCCTGCGCATCCACAAAGATGCCAAAGTGCGCGTCGAACGCACTGCTGATCGTGAAGCGCTGCTGGGGCGCGTTCAGCGCATCAAGCCGGTCCGTGATGTCCTCAAAGGAGCAGCCGAAGCGGCGCGCATACGTCGCTTCAAAGTCGAGCGTGGCCTGGAGTGCGTCGAGGAGCACCGTGACGGATGGCGGCGTCTTGAGCAGCACATTCGTCAGATCGGCCCGCGTGCTGTCCGCGAAACTGGCGACGAGGAGGCGCGATACCTCCCAGCTGTCGGGGAAGAGGGAGCCGGACTCCTCGTCGTGCGACTTGAGCACGCGCCGGAACCAGGCATATCGCCGCGGCACGTTGTCGAGCTGCCCTGCCTCGTCCGTACTCCGGAAGATACGCCGGTAGTCCTGCAGCTGCAGCTGGATGTACCGCTCGATAATGTGTTTCCTGTAGTCGCCGCCGAGCACCTCGATCACCTGGCACGCTGGGCCGACGATCGCGCGGTCTGGCGGCTTGCTCGGGTCGTTTGCGAAGCTGAGGTCAGTTGGGCAGAGAGCGAGGAAACTTACAACACCTCCATCTCGCTGTTCACCTTCTCCTGCAGCGCCTTCCGGTCCGTCTCGGCCGCCTTGAACACGGCCGCGACCTCGCCAATCGTCGCGAGTGGTCGCAGCGGCTCCAGCAGCTGCGTCACTGCTGCCAGCGCCTGTGCCATCTCGGCATATCGCGTTGTCGGGAGGAGCGAGTGCAGATGCGCCTGCGCCGTTTCTGTCGTCAGCTCACAAACCTGTCGCAGTAGCCCGATAACTCGCGTCCCACTCCCACACTCACTCAGCATGCTCCACCGCTCGAGCGTCTGCATTGTCCTTGTCAGATTCCGCTTTGCGACGTCTAAACGCTGGATATCGCTCGTGATCGCCTTGACGATCGCCTCGGCCTCGGCCGCCTTCTCCCGAATCGCGTTGATCTGCGTCATTAAGTGCTGCGGCGGGTGTCAGCATGTCGTCTCTCCTCTGGTCTGCCCCAGCTGACAGGTGCACCTCAGAGCCCTACTTACACCGATCTGACGCTGGATGTGTCCCATCCGTTCCGGGTCCTGGTCGGCGCGGAGCTCGGCCTTCAAGCGTGCGATCTCTTCCCGCGCATCGAGGATCTCGAGCTGTAACCGGGCGTGAATCTGCGTGTGGTGCGATAGCGTCGTGGCTGGGCTGTCAGCCATAGCTCATGCGCCAGCTGGACGCCGCGGTCGCCTGACAGTGGTCACTGCCCGCAGTCGGCCGGCGTACTCGGCAACGACAGCCCGTCAACCAAGCCCACACTCACAGTCATGAAACTCCCGCCCGAGGCGCGCCATTGCGACGCTCGTATCCGCCATGTTGCCCGCTGTTGTTGTCGTCTATCGAAGCTACACTCACGTAAAGTCAGTCGAGGTAGCGACGTTGTTGCTGTCCAGGAACAGAGGCCGGCTCAGGACGCGGCGGACATGCCCTGTGCCCTCCGTCCGCCGCCTGAAACACGTACATTCCCACGGTGGCCTCACCCGTGATGACGCGCTGGGCGGTGGGTGACGGGTCCACAATAACAAAGTCGGGAGTAGACTGCAGACCGTATCCCGAACCAAGTGGGAGAAGGAAGGCGAACACCATGGGCGCGTTCGACCCCCCGATTCTCTTCGAGAAGGGCACATACATCGGTAGGCTGTGAGAAAGGCACGTACGAGCTGACAAGCAGAGACGGATACGGGAAGTGCGTACAACATTGTAATGCGGCCAGCAGAGCGTAGACTGGGCTGCATTGACTTGGCGGCAGCTCACAGAGTGTCTACAGAGCTGACAGAACAGACAAGGTCTCTCGCAAGGCTTTTATCCAGGGAGCGACCAACATCGTGCTGCACGGGAAGAGCATCATCCAGACACGTAAGTAGGCGAGCGCAGCGAACCATCCTCTCATCTTCACTCCCTACGACGTCTTCCTCGCCAAACTCCGTCCTGCGCTCCGCCCACTCTTCCAGCTATGTGGGAAGCGCCCGTCAGCTAACCCCAGGCGCGATCCTTCGTGGCGACCTCCGCCGCTCCACGCCGAACAACGCGCACCACGTCGTCCTCTCGCTGGGCAAATACTGCCTGGTCGGGGAAGGTGCGGTCCTCCGCCCACCCGGCAAGATCTACAAGGGCACATTCACCTTCTATCCCGTGCGAATCGGGGACTGTGTGCATATCGGCCCCGATGCAATCGTCGAGGCTGCGAGTGTGGGACACGGCGTCGAGATTGGCGCCAGGGCTATTGTCGTGAGTCACGCTACCATTGCACTGCGAAGGGATCGTGAAGGCGATTCTGGATGGCTCAGCCCCCGTGGTTCCCGGAAGCTCACCTACAGGGCAAGTTTGCCATTCTGAAGGACTACGCCGTCATCCTCCCCGATGCTGTGCTCCCGGACGGTGCTGTCGTGCCGTCTTACACGGTGTGGGGCGGGAATCCCGCGCGGCTTGTCGATACGCTCCCCGAGACGTACCAGGAGACGGTCGAGGAACGGTGTAAGTCGTACTATGCGCGGTTTAGGGCTGCTCAGTAAGGTCAGTAGCCTGCCAGAGCGGGAAAGCTGCGGGAGGCAAGAACGGAGCGAGAGCAGAAGATGAGATGAGGTCAAGCCAGGAAGGAACAAGATACCCTGCATTGTAAATATCCCCTTTTGATGCCAATCGTTGTCGCTTTGCTCAGATTATGCTCCTAATACACAATACATATACAGTGGTTCGTCATATGGGTACGTTACTTGTCGTTAAGCCAAGAGATAAAGCCTAAGAGGGGTCGACATCGTGACAAGAGTCGGGTTATGCACATGAGGACTCAACCCGAGGGGAGTCCGTTTTCGCCGATGTCGGCAGTGGGTGGTGGAGAGGATTGGGTGGGTGAAGGGACAGAGGTCGAAGAGAGGGAGCACGCTCAAGCGTCCGCAGACACGCTGCTGCCGACACTCCAAAGGGTCGACACGCTCTCCTTCTGCTGGTGCTTGGGAACGTACTCATCGTATCCATTGACACCGTTCGCTCCGTTAACACCGTTGGCAGTCCCGTTGGCCGTTCCGTTCACGCCGTTTGCGCCGTTAACACCCGTCAGCGTGTTACGCTTACGTGCGGTGCGGTCGATCTTGGGCGGAACTGTGTAGGTGGCCTGCGACTTGCCTTGGGCTAAGAGCTTTGCCTGCTGGGCCTCCTTGGCGTCGAAGGCCTTCAAGGCGGCAGCGGCGTCGGCGGGCGAAGCGTCTGCCAAGTTCGCCAGGTCGGCCGTGCTGCTAGTCCCGAACGCGACGCTGAGGCGCTGCAGAGGCGAGGTGCCCGTCGAGGAGCGCGCGCTGTCCGACGACGAGCCATCCTTCGCCGCAGCAGCGGGCGCAGGGGGAGTGGGCGCAGGTTGGGACGGCGCGGGAGCACGGGACAGGCGACGCAGCCATGACGTCGCGCGCGAGCCAGTGTCCTCTGGCGGCGTGACGGCAGGGGCGGGCGCCATCACCTCCACCGCTCCGGCTTCGGGAGTCCGCTCGATGCCCATTAACTTGAGGGCCGCCTCCATACGGTGGCGCTCGCGGCGGTCCTCCTCATCCTCCTCCTGGGGCTCGAGCTTGCGCGCGCTAATCACAGGCGAAGCCTTGATCTCGCGCGTCGGGCTCTGGCTGGGCATACGAGTGGAGGCCGGCGCCGCACTACTGGCTAAAGTTAAAGGCTTGAGCTGGGGCTGCTTCGGCTCGGGCTCCTTGGAGCCACCAAAGCCAAGGGAGCGGAAGTCGATCGAGAATCCGCGCCGGCTCCGCTTCTCCTCCGTAGCCTTCTCCTTGTCGTCCTTGACGGGGACTACGGCCGGTGCAGGAGCGGGCACGGGCGCCACCATCGACATGGGGCGGGCACGGCTTCTGGGCGGCACGGTCGGAGCCGCAGTGGGTGAAGGCTCTTGCATGGCCGAGATGTCGGCAGGCTCGTCAACGATCGGTCCATTGTTCTCCATGTCCTTAGCAAGCTGCTCAATGGAAGGGCGGACCGTCCGTCCGCTGGCAGTGCGCGACCCGAAACGGCGCGTGCGGTAATCGACACTCAAGATGTGCTCGAAACCCTCGGACGCAATAATTCGGTCCAGGATCTTGGAGCAGTACAGGGTGAGCGCTTTGTTGCTCTCCTTCAGGCTCTTGAGCTCCGTGCGCATCTTCTCAATGTCGTTGTCGCCATTCAGTTCGGCCGCAAGTGTGTGACCCAATCGTGGGGACGCAAGCTCCACAGCGCTCGGGTGTGGGCTACTCGCGTCAATGTCCATCTCGGCGTTCAGCTCATCCATCTCCATCTGCTCCTCGAGCGTCGCGAGCACAGTCGTCTCCTTGGGCTTGACCGGGGGCGAGTTTCGGGGAGGCGATGACGTCGTAAGCAGGCCGGATCCCATATGACCGGCGAGTGTGCGCTCCTCCACGAGCAGCTGCCAGCTGTCGTTCTCCTCGAGAAGCCTCGCATTGTCGGCTTTGACCTCGTGCAGCTCGTCCGCGAGGGTCGTCAGTTGGGCCACAAGCGTCTGGTGCGATGCAGACAGCGAAGCCAGTTCTTCCTTGAGGGCAAGATGCGGCTCCTCCTCATTCACGTGCGCGTGAGCGAGACGCTCGGTCGTCAAACTCTTCAGCCGCTGCTGCAAGTGCTGCAGCTCGGCTTGGTGGACAAGGCGCTCTGCCTCGAACGCCTTCTCCTGCTAGTGTTAGTGTCGGTTGTGAAATCCCACGCATGCAGCTTTCGCCACCCACCTGGTCCGCATAACGGCGGGCACCATTGCGGTTGTGCTTCTCGCTCTCAGCAACGTTGGCCCGGAGTCGGTCGACCAGGTCGTTTGCGGCCTCGAGGTCTGCTTCCAAGCCTTGCTGTTCGTTAAACGTGGTGTCGTACTTCTCCTGCAGCGACTCGGACAGCTTCTGCAGCTCTGTGACGCGCGCTTCGGTCGACAGCTGCTGAGCTTCGAGTTCCTCGATCCGGGAAGAGAACTGTCAGGTCAGCTTACCACGGAGGGTCGTGCGATAAGAGAGACTACGCGGCATTGCGCATGCACGGGGCCATGTGGACTGCGATAAACAAGCCGAGAAGCAGTCGCAATCACCCACACGGTACACATGGCACCCAGCGATCCATGCTTACGTGGAGGAGGGCACTTACCTTCTCGCGATCGGCCCACTCACGCCTGAGAGCGTCCTGCATGGCCGTCCGGCTCGCCTTCTCCAGCTCGTCCTCGGTGCGATCTTCAATGACGCCAGTGTATTCGGGCGCAGTCTCCACGGCCGAGGAAGGCTGGGGCGTTTCCACCTCCTCCTTGGGAAGCGTCGCAGACAGTGCCGGGCGCGGGCTGGGAGTCGCTCGAGGTGTCGAGGCTCCATTCGAGGTTGAGGGGGTGACACTGATACGCTTCGAGCGGGTGCGATTGGGCGGCGCGGGGCGGGCTATCATGGGCGTCTCGGTAGGCGGGGACACGCCGCCCATGGTTACTCTGACTCCTGCAGTCGGGCTTGTGGGAGTGGTCGCCGCCATTTCTTTTGTTGGAGTTTGACTGCGGATCTGTTGAGAAATCGGACGCCGCGGAGGCCGGGAGGGAAGGGAAGAACGTTGCGAAAGGGAGGACGACGAGTTGTTTCTCCCAACGCTGCCAGAGGGCGTGGAGGAGCGATGAGCCTCTTTGCGAGGCGAGGAAGGTCGGGGTGGCGGCGGCATGGCGTGTCGATATGGCCTGGCCAAAGGAGTAGCTCGAGATGTGCTAACGTATGCCAGTAGTGGAGTGCCCAGTGGACGAGGTCTTGGAGAGACTAAGGGGGGAGTCTAGGATCTAAGCCGAGCAAGAAATGAATAAATAGGTGGACGGGTGTGGTGCCGGCTGCAAGAGGGGGTGGGACGAAGTGTGATGAATGGGTGGGTGCTTTGGGCACTTGAAGATATGCGCTCGGGAGAGGGTTGAGATGGACTTGTGTTGTTGAGGTGGACCCTGTGTGATTACATTGCGTGGATGCGGGGGGTGTTGAGTGAATGGGTGCGGGTGGACGGGCCAAACAATGAAACGCGCCATCTAATCCGCCATGTACGGGGTGAGGGGGTTTCAGTGAGTGGACTCGTGTGGGCTGCGTGTGGTCGAGCCGCTCAAACGACCGGGGAACCCAACTTAAGGTCTGTCCGTCCCTGGCCAGGTCTCCCTCCCCGCAGCGCGCTCCCTCACTCCTCTACGCGTATGGCTGCCTGCACTAGCCCTCGAGCCCCTCGACGCCTCACAGGGTCGCTCAGGCCCGTCCCGTAGCCTGTTGCCGCAAAGCCTATCAACCATAACCGCCAGGACTTGCTCCCGCCACAACCTCACTGTTCGGTGTTACCCACGTGGCAAGGTGGAGGTCGCCTGAGTTTCTGCTCACCCTCATGAACACAACCGAATACATCATAGTCCGTATTGGTGGCAACTACCTCACATCCAACCAAACAATAACAATGTCCAAAAAGCTCTCCATGGATCAGGCAACTGCCTTGCAGGTGAGTTTCTTTTACCGCTGACGGAAACTGACAACTTAGGCCGAGGTTCAGCAGGAGCTCGAGCGGCGCGAGTGGGCTGAAGCAGGCGGTACGTCGAGCTCGAAGGTCACAGTGCTGATTAACAGACAATGTGATGGCGGAGTACGTCTGTGTTCTTCTTGGTGAGTAGATCAACGGACGCAGTGGCGTGAATTCGCTGACAGCAGCCAACGGCAACACGAGGGGTACGTCATGAGCGCTTATCAAGACTAACGGGAAGACAAGGTGCAGACGGAGATGGATGACCGTAAGCCCTGATGCTTTGGGTTCCTGCTGACATCAGTCGTCGGAGCAGACTTCGATGCCTCGTTCCTCGACTGGCTGTTCACGCGGTACGAGGCGATGCTGAATCAAGGCTCGCCGGCTGCCCCCGTCGACGCTCCTGCCGCCGAGCCAGCGGCTCCTCCGGCCGCTGCCCCCCAGTCCGCCGAGCCCTCGTCCGGTGCTGGATCCCGAATGTTCGCCTCCGCGGTGGAGGGTACCAAGCGTAAGGCTGAGGGTGAGCACGAGCGCCGGCGGCTCCCCGATGGACCACTCGGCGCGCCTGCATCTGCGCCGACCGGTCCCCGCATGGGTGGACAGGGTCGCAACCTCGCCGACCGACTGGGTCCCCGGGGCCAGGCGCCGATGCGCGGCAACGGCGTGAACATCCGGGGACGCGGTGGACACACGAACCAGCCCTACCGACCGCAGCAGCAGCAGCAAGGCTTCGGCATGGGTATGGGCGTGCCCGGCATGCAAGGGCAGCAGGAGATGATGATGCAGATGATGGCGATGCAAGCCAACATGATGCAGATGGCCGAGCAAATGCAGTCGATGCAGCAGGGCCAGAGCCAGGTAAGCTCCACGCAGCCGTCCCAAGCTGACATCAGGATAAGCGAGGCGGACGACCCACTCGTGGCGGAGCACCGGCGCACACCCCGCACAAGGCGATCTCGAAGCCGGTGGCAGGCGCTAAGAGCGGCCCGATCCCCGACAGGCCGACCTCGACGGCACTCTGCAAGTTTGGCGTCGGATGCAACAACGCGCGGTGCACGTACAGCCACCCGTCGCCGGTCGCGGACGAGAAGACAGGCATGGTGTTGAGCGAGGAGGCGTGCCCTGCGGGTAAGAACTGCAAGGACGCCGAGTGTGTTAAGAGCCATGTCTCGCCTGCCGCTGTTCTTGGTGAGGGCGCCGGCCCGTCCCGTCTTCTCTGCAAGTTCCAGCACTGCACGAACCCCTCCTGTCAGTTCCGCCACGAGGATGCCAACGGCAACCCGATCGCGCCGCCGGCGCTTTCGAACCCTGCTCCCTCGGCTGAGGCCTCCAAGCCGAGCCTCGATTCAGCGCTCGACGATAGCAAGGTGGAGCGCCCCTGCCGTTATGGTGAGAGGTGCACCCGCGCCGACTGCAAGTTCACCCACCCCGCCAGCCGCCCGACACCGAAGGGCGGCAAGCCTGCTGGAGGCAAGCCGGCGGGAGGTTTCAAGAACAAGGCGGCGCGCACGGACGACGCTATCAGCGGCGACATGGGACCAAGCAAGAAGTTCGGACTCAACCCGAACGCGGGCGAGTTCAAGCCGAAGGAGGACGACATCCAGGTCACCATGTGAGCGGCCATCACCGCGTCGGCGTAACAATTGGAGTGACATGGAGTACGAAGGAGATCTGCACGGAGACTGCATCGAGGAGACACATTGACGGCGACTGATAGAGAGAAGTAGTGTACCTCTTAGACTAGAGATGTATTTTGTCGTAACTTAGCCTCGCTCAGTTTGCAGCACCCGCCGCAGGAGTGGGCGAGGAGTCTGCAAGGCAGCGGTTCCTGGCATCTGCATACAGCGGTCACCAGCCAGTATCGTACTCTGCAGTGCCCGAGGACGGAGACCGCCTCACGCCGACGGCCACTGGCTGCGTTACAAGAAGTGGGCACAGAGCATGGCGGCGGAGTGCGCGCGGAGCACCACACAGTGACGAAGCGGAGTTGTGGTTTCGTAACCTGAACTTTGTAATGCAAGGTTTGTTTAACCACGCTAATGGAAATAGCCCCTTGCAAGCTAAAGGATGTAAGGCTGATTAAGAGGCGGCCGCGGCCGATGGTGCCGAGCAATCCGCCCGCGCGTCCGGCCACGTGAGCAGGCTGAGCGACCGGCTCTGTCCTACCCGGGCCATCCCAGCAGGTCAGGATAACTTTGGGCACCACTTCTTCCCTCTCTCCCTCATCTCTTGTTGGCTGCTCGCTGGACTTGCAATCGGTACCGCAAACTTTTGATCAACATGGCGAGCGCTATCCAGAAGTTCATCATGGAGTGAGTTTGTCGCTTCTGCCTGTGTGCGGGCTTTGGGGCTATTAGATACGAAGTGAGCTCGTGCTAATCTCCCACCACAGCCCTGCGAACCACGACCTCCTCGGCGTGGCCAAGGGCGCCCGCAACGGTATCGTGTACGGATGCAAGGTGCGGTTCCCGCACGCGCTCGTCATGGCGGCGCTGTTCAGCCACAAGCCCTGGCCGGTCCGCATCCACGGCATCCTGACCGCGACGCGGAACCATGCGCTCGCGCTCGGAAAGTTTGTCACGATCTACAAGATCATGATGCTCATCCAGAAGCGGCTGAACGGAGGCAAGGAGCGTGACCTCGACACGCTCATCGCGGGCGGTATCGGAGGATGGTGGGTCTTCAGCGACCGCACACCGGTGAGTACTTCTGGGACCTGTGGCAAGCTCGGCCCGGTGAGAGCTGCCATTTCCCCGCTCCGCTCAGACGCTAGAGCGGGGAAGTGTCATGGCGGTGGGATGGAGGGGTGCGCCGACGCCATGGCCTTCATTGCCCATCGCATCCGGATAACTCTGGGCTGCTCTGCACTTCGGTGGATGCTGCGCCCAGCGGTTGCGATGAGCACATTGCAAACACCGGCTCGCACCGGGTATCGCCGGGCACTCTCGGTGTTCGGCGTGGGCGGACAGGAAATGGCAGATATCGCGTCGCATGACGAACACGAGATTTCCAAGCAAGAAGGCGCTGACACAGTCCGCAGATCAACGAGCAGATTGTGCTGTACATCATGTCTCGCGTCGTCCTCTCGTTCCTTCCGCGCCTGTACTCATCCTCGTCGGGCCCCGCCAAGGGCCCCCTCGAGCCGCTCTCGCACCCCCTCCCCGACATCCTGTCCCCCGAGGCCAACCCGCGCCCCATCCCGCCCGCCAACGTTCCCTTCGCCATTGTCGCGACCCTCTCGTGGGGCCTCGTCATGTACATCTTCCGCCACAGGGGAGAGAGACTGCAGCCCGGTATCATCAACTCGATGCGTGAGTATCGCGGCCCACGCGGGTATCACACGACGCCATCATGGGCGTGGCTTGGGCCCGCCAGCCATGCCAGCCTTGCCGCCGCCCGTCCATGCCGTCCATGCCGTCCATGCCGTCCATGCCGTCCATGCCGGGAACGGCAGGGCCATCTGCACATCCCATGCAATGCTAACATCCAGGCTACCTGTACCGCGACTCGGAGACGTGGTCCAACCTCAAGACCCTCCTCTGGCACAACAAGTAGGCCCCGCGTCGCGCCGCGTAGTGTCGCTAGAACCGAGACGAGGGCACGAAGTGCGGAGAAGACAGCGTCGAAACGTCGCGCCCCGGCCTGCACAGACAAGCCGGCCAGCCCGCTCCCACCTACCCAAACCACAACCACCACACTGCTTATTCGGACACCTTTACTCCACTATTATTTTCTTCTCACTTCAAGAGCGGCAGCGACAAGAAAGGCAGAGATCGCACCGTCTCATAGATCATACAGTTGTACAATTTTCATGTATGGACTGGATTGGACTTGGCACAAGAGTGCTAGTGTTGGAGCATGCGTGATACGCCGTGGATAGCTTGGCATTAGATCGATGGGCGGCGATAGCATCGGTGGAGGAAGGCGGCGTCCGCCGTCTCGATACCCGAGATAGTCCCAGGTCCGATCAATTAGGCGTGTGGAACGTGATGACATCAAGACGCGTTCAACTTTTTCAACCCTCTTGCCTCCACAACAACAACAATAATCATCATGCCCAAGTCCTTCGGTGCGTATTCATTCCCCAGCTGGCAAAGGTACGGTGGTTTAAGCTGACTACCCAGTCTTCGTCACCGGAAACGCGAACAAGCTGCGCGAGGTGCGCGAGATCCTCCAGACGGGCGGGAGCGGGATCGAGTGCACGAATGCGGCTGTGGATGGTGAGTTTCACTCCTCTCCCTCTACACTGTCAGCACCCCAGGCTTGATTTCTCAGTGCTGTATGCGGAGATTGGATACTGCTGCGGTCTGTGAGGATTGCCCAGAGAGAATGTGGACTCCGATCCGAGTGACCGGAATAGCTGAGCAACTTGGAAAACTGAGCTGACACCCGCAGTCCCCGAACTCCAGGGCACGACGCAGGAGGTCGCCAAGGCCAAGTGCGCTGCTGCCGCCAAGGCGCTGAACGCCCCTTGCGTGACGGAGGACACGGCGCTGTGCTTTGAGGCCCTTGGCGGGCTGCCTGGGCCGTACATCAAGGATTTCCTGGGTACTGTTGGGCATGATGGTGAGTAGAGTCTTCCTGCGTCCCCACCCTCTACCTTCCATCTCCCTTTCACTGTATCCCCGCAACGAAGCATCTCCTAGTGAGGGTAGATTCACGCGACGGCATTCTCTCAGCTTCGACAAGTATGCCGGTCAAGCTAACAACGCAGGCCTGAACAAGATGCTCGTCGGGTTCAACAACACGAACGCGCACGCGCTGTGCACCTTCGCCTACTGCGCCGGACCGGGGGAGGAGCCCATCCTCTTCGAGGGCCGGACGGACGGGGACATTGTGCCCGCGCGCGGGCCCAGCAACTTCGGCTGGGACCCCGTGTTCCAGCCCAAGGAGGGCGGGGGCAAGACGTACGCCGAGATGGAGAGCGCGGAGAAGAACAAGATCTCTCACCGGTACCGCGCCCTCGAGAAGCTCAAGGATTACCTGAGCCAGTAGGCTTAGACTGAGCCAGTAGACGAGAAGACAATAGATAATGCATTGATATAAGTGGTATATACGGCATGCCTGGGTATAGTTCATGTGCTACAACAGTCTGTACATGGCTAGTCTACATCGCCCTCGCTCGGTTCCTTCAGCGAGGGCTCGCGGTCTTCCGGCTCCTGCTTCGTGCGCGCCGGCACAAAGTTGAAGGGAAAGTGGCGGTGTTCTGGGGTCCGAAACGTCGGCGTCAGAGGCGTGGGAGGGGAGGAGAACGAGCTCGCCGGCGAGCGGCGATACTCTGGGCGCTGCTGTTGCTCATTTGCTGGCGGAGGTGCCGCTTGTGCTTGTGTTTGCGTTGGCGTGACTTGGGGCGAATTCGGTAGCGCTGCGGAAGAGTCAGATGACGAGTCTGAAGGCGCTGACCTCAATGATCGTGGGCGTGCGGCGGGCGACGCCGCGGCCGACCCGCTCGGCGACAGGGGCTCGAAGAGCCGGCCGAGGATCGCGTCCGCCTGTCCCTTCGTGACCACCTTTTGCGTCACGAGGTGCGTCAGGAAGACGCGGCGCGAGTGCGCAAATACAAAGGCCTTGGAGAGCAGGTCGAGCTGTGTCACGTCAGCTACGTATGTCAACGAGAAAGCTCACGTTATCATAGTCCTCGAGCTCCCCCTTGAGCGCCAGCCGGGCCTCTTCCGACCCATCGTCCCACCATTGGAAGAAGCATTCGAGACGCTCCCGATCGAGAAGCTCTACGACGAGTAACTTCACCATTGCGCGCACGGGGTGCGGGCGGGCCATGACCTCGTCCAGCGTCGCCGGCCACTCCTTTGCGCTGCCCTCGATACCTTCCACCTCCCGTTCCAGCTTGGTCGAAGGGAGGAGTACGCGCAACCGCAGCCACTCGCGCCGCCGCACCCAACCCCACCAGTTCAACCGGCCTGCGTGCGATCGCCACCCTCGCCGGTGGAACCAGAGGTTGTACCGGAACCCCTGCTCGTCGGCGTCCAGGCGCATGTTCACCATCCACGGTGTGAGCCAGATCCACTCTGGCGATGGTGTCTGATACGTCTTCAGATCGTAACCCGTATCGTTCGTCTTGCGCTTGTGCGCCAGCGGCTGGGACGCCTTGGTGTCCGCGGACGAGCTGGAGGTGTCTCGGCTGTCCGGGATCGCGCTCGTCGAAGTACTCCGCCCTCGCGCATGGCCTCTCAGACGCGCCAGTTTCGCCCGCTTGGTCCGCTCCGAAGCCGAGACCGTCGTCACACCCGGCAACTCAGTCGGCAGCGTGTACGCCGTGGGGTCCGATGGCAGCAAAGAGTTCGCGCTATACCACTTCTTGCCGAAGAGACTCATGCCGCGCTGGTTCTCGTACATGACTGTTGTTGTCAGAGTCTTACGCTAGAGCATGCTCACCTTCCCAAACGTAGAGTGGCTTCGGCGGCCGCTCCACCTCGGGTACCTCAACTGCAGACGTTATCTGCTCGTCACCGTCGTACACGTCGATAACCTGGTCGGCGCGCTCCGCAAGCTGCTGTTGTGCTTCCTGCTTCTGCCGCTCAAACAACTCCATCTCCCGCCGCAGCCGGTGTTTCCGCGAAACAGGTTCGCTGCCCTCACCCTCGTCCTCATCGGACTCTGCCGCGGTGTTGCTGCGTCGACGGTGCCGCTTGTGGAGGATCTTTGATCCCTTCTTCATCGCCTGCTTCACGGCCGCGTCCTCCCCATCTGACGCTGGAGAGACGACTGGCGGCGGGGGAGGTACCGCGGCTGGTCGCTCGGGGATCTGGCAGAGGTCGTCGAGCTGCGCGTTTGGATCGCGTACGGATGATGGTCGCGAGCCGCGCATGTGATATCCTGCCGGTGTGCTGCGTCCGCTCGTCGTGCGCGTCGGCTGCAGACTGTCGGATCGGCTGGCTGCTCCGTGTTGCGGAAAGTTGCCGAGAGAAGACGCGACGGTGGGGACGGTGGACTTGTGCGAGATGTCGCTGTGCGCGCTTGTAGGACGCTGCGGCGTCGGCGGCGCTGCCTCAGCGGGTGACAAGTGCCCGCTTGAGGCGGCCATGGTGGTGTCTGTTGATCGTGGTGGTACGAGAGAGTGGAGAGATGAGAAACGGGGAACTGCCCTGGGCACTGGAATCAATTAGGTGCTGGCAAGGAACGCTTGCCGGTGTGCCGATTAGCCTGATGTCATCTCTCGTACCGTGTCTCAACAACACTCTCTCTCTGACCTGTTCGACTCGTCAATACCGTCTTCGCCGCCATCAGATCAGCACTGCCCACCGACGTCATTGTCCAGGCGCAGATACGCCCCTCTGTATCCCCTGTTCCGCTCGAGGTGGAGGTGAGCGTGCCAGCACGCCGCACACCTGCATTTGCCACCCTCCCGTGACATCAACACGTCGGCCGCGATCTCGCCACCGGCACTTCCAACGCGTTGCTTTCTCCCCAATCCATTGATCCACAATCGAGACAGAACTACATTTGCCACCGTACACACCGACCTCACTCGCACCGGGCACCGTGTCGTCCGTCCATCCGGCAGGAAGCCCACCAACATGGACACCCTGGACCTTTCACCAGGAAAGGCGATCGGCCTGTTCGAACTTGGAGACACGCTTTGGCATGTCCTCGATATTCTGAGGGCGCGTAAGTCGGAAGTTCCTAAGCTAGACATCGCCTGGGATCCGGAGGTATGTCCTTGCTCCGGGGCTTTGCTGATGTCAGAACGCCGTCAAGAGCGCCGTCATCGTTCATGCTGGGTCGGTAGCTCTGCTCTTCTCACCCGAATCACAGCGCCTGTCCCACATCCGTGTACAGCTTCCGACAAGCGCAACTATCACCTATGAAGGGGCCGTGCTCTCTTCACCCTCAGTGCCGTTGACGCGAGCCGGAGTTGCCCGAGCTCTCGGCCCGACCTATGCCAATGACGGCGCATTGGCGTACCCTGGGGTCGTATTCAACGTCCCACCGGGCCGTGAGGAGAGCGTTGCCTCTCTCAGTGTAGTTCCGAAGGAAGAGGACGAAACGCTCGGAGAACTGCAATCGTGCATGCTCATGGTGAGTCCGAGGAGTGCACGAGTCGACTGACAGCCAGCCTGGTCAAGGTGCCATGCTCTCGCTCAAGAACGGCACTATCGAAATCAATCTGGGAGATACGACCGCCCAGGATCTGCTCATCGATCTCGGTCCCCCACTTAGGAAGTATTGGAAAGAGGATGACAGGTTGGGCCGCGTCTGGGGTGGTCAACCTGGGCCCAACACGTCGACAACAGCCGACGATGACGCCACCGGGGAAAGCCAGTCGACCCCATGCTTCTGGAACTACTTCCAGTACGGCATGGATTTCCTCATCGAGAACGGCGTCGTGACAAAAGTCAACGCTCATACCAACATTGTGAGTCGTGCTGACGTGAGGCGCACCGACGTACTGATACGACACAGCCAGGAACGCCCCAGTTCCAGCAATACGCGCGTTGCCCGTGGGTCGTGCAGTGCGACCCAGGAGAGCTCGACTACACGCACCCGCTCAGTGCGTTCCGGGAGAGGCTGCAAGATGGTAGCAACCCAAGCAGCGCGCCCTCTCGCTCCAGCAACGGAACACCGGAAGGCGGTAAGAAGAACAAGAAGAAACAGCGAAACGGCTCTTCCCATGCTGCCGCGCCATCTAAGGATGCGCCGCCGGACGCAATGATCCTCGACCGATCGGTGGAAGGTGGCCTGGAGGGAGTCATCGGCATGGGCGTCAGCCAACTCGTCGGCTTCGACGGAATAGTTGTCGAAGTAGACGAAAAGAGCGGCGGCGTAACATCTGTGCAAGTTTGGGGTCCTCAGTAGAACGGAAGAAAGTGTACAACTAGAGTGTGACCAGTAACGATCTGCATGCATCACGGCTTTGTATCGCTGACTTGATCGTACCTGGCCGCTGTTGTGCCGATCGGATCACGTGGCAACTACATCCGGCGTCTCGGCGTTTCCCTTAATCTAGCCGCCACTAAGACGCGATACCACCCTTTGTTGACACCTCTCCGGATGTTTGAGCCGAACTCACCAGTAACCCTCGATATCCATAACCATACTCCATCACCATGCCTCCCAGAGCACGACGGCGCAAGTCCCCAAGCCCAGCAGCCGACGCAGCGTCTCCGACAGGATCCACCCATTCCAGCTCCTCTTTATCGCCGGTCCGATCAAACGCTTCGGAAGCCGAAACCGATGCCGGTGACACGCCGGTTACTGCCCTTGAAGTCGCCGAAGACGAGGACGAGGACGAAGTTGAAGCAGCCGCTGGCGACTCCATGGATGTAGGGGGTGACGAGGAGGAGGAGGGCGGTGAGGACGCCACCGAGCAGGCTTCGACTGAGGACGACACGAACGCCGTCGAGGAGGAAGAAGGCGAGGATGACGATGATAACGAGGAAGAGGAGGAAGAAGAGGAAGAGGAGGGCGACGAAGAAGAGGAGGAAGAGGAAGAGGAGGAGGAGGAAGAAGAGGAAGAAGAAGAGGAAGAGGAAGAAGGCGAGGAGGGAGATGAGGAGGAGGGTGACGACGAGGAAGAAGAAGACGAGGACGACGAGGAGTCGCCAAAGAAGAAGACCAGCGCCCCGTCACTATCGTCCCCTTCCGGGATCAAGTTTCGTTACCCACCAGCAGTCGAGGATATCACCACCGTCTCCGAACGTGAAAGAGCATTCAAGGTCGCGCGATTCGTGGGATGCACAATCGACGGGTGCGACTGTTCGGGATTGGAGCCACCATCTGGATCGAAAATTACCATTGCTTCGACCTCAGACGATGTTGACATGAACGGTGACGACGCCGAAGGGGTGGATCAGGAAACAATCTCGTCATGGCGCACCGAGGAGGGATGGTGGAAGCGGTGTGGGGAATGCGGACATGGTTGGGAGGGTGATGATGGACATGTGTTCGAAGAGGATGTGCCAGACGCTGAACGACGACGGCGGGAAAAGGTGGTAGGGCGCATCGAGGAACTACTTCAGGTGAGTCAACACGAGTCAGTGATCCGCAGTGATACACACACGACACACACCCCTGCTTTGCTTCCACTCTGGCGGCGCGCTCGCACGCACGCTCGCTCGCTCCCTTCGGCAACTCTCATTTTCTCTCATTTCACTCTTCGCTCTACACACCCCTCTCCCGCCCCCGGGTGACTCAATCACATGGATCCCTTCGACGACTCGGACCTCTTCTACTTATCATTGTGGAGTTACCCGCTCACGCCTCAGGACCAGGATGCTTTGACCACCTTCCCTACGCCTCACCCTGAGGAGACAGAGTCTCTGTATCGTCAACTCTCGGAATTCGTCCGCCCCTCTGGAAAGCGACCAGCCGCACCACTGCCAGCCGCCTTCGACCTGGGCGAGGACTCGACACCATTCGACGACGATGGGCGGCAAACGCCCGCGGACGGAGACCACACCGATGCTGAGGGCGACCGGCCACGCAAACGTTCCAAGCTCGGCGACGACCAGGGAGCAGAGGAGGCCGCGGCAGATGCCAATGGGGAGGGTGGCAAACACACAGGGAAGCGACCAGGGAAAGGAGGCCCCGGCGGGCGATCTGTCAAAACAAGAGGCGGTCCTGCAACCGCAGCAGCGGCGGCTGCGACCGCAGCGGCCGCAGAGGAGGAAGGCGAGGGGGACGATGACACGCCGCTGGCTGTCACTAGTCGCCCTGAGCTCGACGACAAGGAACGCCAACGCCGAGCCGAGATCAAAGAGAAGGAACGTTTACGTGAAGAGAAGGTCCAGCGTCGCGGTGCCGATGAGCAGGCCGTGCAGGATGAGAAGGACGTCCAGGTTCAGGAGTGGCACGGAATTGAACTACCTCAACTCCCGTTACGTCCTGCAGCTCTGGAACAGCTCAACTCCGAGATTATTCTGCCCGTTGTCACCTCACGAAACCCGAGCCCGGTAGCGTCGATCCTCCTGATTGGCCTCAAGAACCTGTTCCAGAAGCAGTTGCCAAAGATGCCGCGAGAGTACATCACGCGTCTTGTGTTGGACAAGAACCACATCTCCATGCCCATCGTGAAGCGCGGCTGGAAGGTCGTAGGTGGCATCTGCTACAGGCCGTTCGAGAGTCGAGGCTTTGCAGAAATTGTGTTCTGTGCCGTCGACTCCTCGGAACAGGTCAAGGGATACGGATCGCATCTGATGAACGCACTCAAAGACCACGTCCGCAAAGCCCACCCCACGATCAACCACTTCCTTACCTATGCGGACAATTATGCTGTGGGCTACTTCAAGAAGCAGGGCTTCTCGAAGGAGATCACGTACCCGCGCGAGCGCTGGGTCGGATACATCAAGGACTACGAGGGAGGAACCATCATGCAGTGCTGCATGCTCCCCAAGGTCAAGTATTCGGAAGTGCATCAGATGCTGTCAGACCAGAAAGCGGTGAGTACAGCACCATCCTCTCGAAAGCTCTCAAGCTGACCAGTCAGGCAATCTTCGCCAAAATTCGAACGATTTCTCAATCACACGTCGTTCGGCCAGGTCTAGAGGTGTTCAAGAATCGCAAGCCTGGGGAGAGTATCAAGCTGGAGAAGGAAGATATTCCAGGTCTCGCGGAGAGCGGTTGGAACCCTGACTTGGATGAAATGTGAGTAAGCGGGCCGGACAGCGCTAACCTCAGCATTCGTCAGCCGAAACGCAACCCGCACTACGCTCAGTTGCAGCAAGTGTTGAACGACCTGCAGAACGATCCATCAGCGTGGCCATTCGTTAAACCCGTCGATGCCAGTGTGGTCACAGACTACTACAATGTCATCACCAGCCCTATGGGTAAGTGTCACACGGCCGTGGAGGCGGTGCTCTCTGTACCTCTCTGTAGGAAGGAGCCTCAGTACCACTGCTATCATGCCGGTTTACTGGTGTGCATCTCGGCTTCAGGTGGAGTCGTCTCTCGGTACCTGGGCCTACTCCCACCCGATTTTGTTTACATTTGCTGACGTTGATTCCCTTGTTCCTGGAAACGGTATCACGATCGCGCTCCAACCCGCTGCAGACCTGTCGACGATGGAGTTCAAGCTTGAGAGCAATCACTACGCGACTGTGGATGACTTCGTCTCAGATGCTCGCCTCATCTTCGCCAACTGTCGACAGTACAACGGTGAGAAGAACCAGTACGCCAACCTGGCGAACAAGCTGGAGAGAGCTTTGGACCGTATCCTAAAGAAACGCGGACTCGCCGCATGATAGATACGCGCTTGCCCTGACTTATCACGGCTCACGTTTCACCGGTGCCGGATGTAGAAGAGAGCCCGAACGTTTCCACGGATTAGATGGGAGCCGCGGGGAGGCGTGAGGGCTACAGTTGTAAAAAAAAGATGATGCAGTTAAGATGTTGTCTATGTCAACGAGAATGATGCCTCAGCAGGGATTTAGGTTTGTGACGTCATCTGGTGGAATTGGCCACGGCGTCAGGAACGATGAGCAAGTCTGGACTTGGGGATGCAGCGCAGCCACTGAACGAGGCTTTCCGGGCTCCCCTTGCTCTCCGTGCTCTCTGGTGGCAAGCCCTTGCTCTTGGCTTTGGTATCCCTGGTATCTGTGCCAATGGTCGTCGTGGGCTGGCGTATTTGCATCGAGGCGTTGACCGTTGGCTGAATTGGGAGCCAGAACCGGATCTCGGAAGCTTGGGTGCTCCATAGTGCTCCAGACATGAGAGCCAAAGCTCCTCACCCACTCTGCGAGATTCGTAAGATTGATGTTCTTTCAATTGATGCTGAGAGGCCGCGATATCACGAGGCCAAGCTAAGGCAAGTGGGTGCCATGGGTGGGTGCAACAGCTGCCAGAGGCAAGGAGACAAGGGTGGGGGTCGTGGGGAACAGGGAGCGGAATGTCACCGGACCGGAAATCCGTCTCGGGCAGGTGGAGCCAGCTCTTTCCAGAGAGCACCAGTGCAAGAAGCGCAGCTATGTCTGGCAGAGTACGCAGAGTCAAGGAGCGGCGCAGCGGAGATGCGCGACCGGCAGGAAGACGACTTGCGCCTAAAGTCGTCTCTGCGTTGGATCCCTGACATCGGCAGCAGACCCTGCTGCGCTCTGGGCACTGGCCATGGAAGGCGTGGCGCAAAAGTCAGGTCTAGTTGCAGGGCCAGGTGGTTATGACGAGCGGGAAGGCATGCCCAGCGTCAGCGAGCGCTTCCATTCGACCACGATAGAGCACACGACCTGCCCGCTCTGCGCAGTCTGTATCTCTGTACATTGTTGGCACCTGAGTAGTTCGGAGTAACAACAGTCCTTACCTGGACGAGAGAAGTTGACCGACGCCATACACGTCACTTGTGTGCGCCCGAGCGCGCCCACTGCGCCCTCACCAGCCAGCTACGCCAACTGCGCCAGAGGCAGTTGCGCCCTCCCCCATCCTTCCCCAGAGCTAGTGTTCGACCCTTGTCTTCCCCGGCCACAGCCTTGCTCTCATCCGAGCACTACCAAAGGCAGTGATCATTCCTCGGTCCCATCTCTGTCTTTTCTCACTTTCCATCATCACTCGTCGTCCCGCCCACTACCCCTCACATCACCCCACCCAAATTACAATCACAGCGCGACCGAGACCACGGAAGCGACCCTCACAGCGGCACTCGCAACGCGACACATCCGAGCCCCATCCGGACAAGGATTGAGAGCTAAGAGGCAGAGCTCCCGACCAAATTTACAACATCTCACAAACGTCACCGCATCACTACTAGAGAGCCCCGGGGCCCACGTGAACCTAAGGGATTCGGTAGCAACGGAAAGGACAGAGGTGAGTCGCTCGATTGAAGAGGATTACAACGTTGCCGTCATCGCTGTGCCTCATTTTAAGACGGGCATGACGGTTGGAGTGGACGGTTCGACACGAGCAGGTCACGGACTTGGCAGTCGGTTCCGGGTTCCAGTGGGGGGCAAGTAGTAGGCATGACCGTGAAGTCAGCGAAGGCAGGCGGGGAAGGAAAGGGTCAAAGGGTCATTTATGAGTAGCGGCCCGTGGACCCCGTGGCCAGTGGCTCTCGCCGCCTGAGTTGCGGCCATCTTCCGCGCCTCCGTACGTGCGACTAGCGTCTCTCCTAGCTCTCCTCGTTGCGGGCTCGGAGGCCATTAGCGAATACGTATTCAGTCCGTGACGGATGACGCGTCTGAGGGCAAGCATTCCATCTCAATGGCGCAGGGGGATGTGGCCCAGGCCAGGTGGGTGACAGCTGCCGAGCATGCTCCAGGTGTCCATCAGGCCCAGCATCCAGGCCAGGCCCCGGGCAGGTGGCGACTTGACTCCCTGCTGTTAGCTGTACCTGTTCGGGGTTGTTCCGTTGACCACGGAGAACCCACCGAGGGACCGTGATCGTCTTTTGAGCAGTCTCCAAGCATGGAAGTTAGAGCTTGTTCCGGTACGACTGCGCACGCGCGGCGTGTCAGAGGGAGCCATGAGAGTTGGGCAACCCGAAATCCCAAAGGAGCCTGGCTGGAAAGAACGAGTCCGGCCGTCGCCGTCATTCCTCGTGGGTGAGGGGGTGGTGTTGTCGGGGACTCGGGGGAAGGCCCGGAGCTGGACAGCAAACTGGGCAGGTGTCGATGTAATCTTTAAGGGTCCACAGATCATCGATACCGTCATGTTCTAATCTACTGGGGCCCTGCCCCCGGGCCCTTGCTCCCTGCTGTCATCCTTGTCATCGTCCTGTTCGGGCCCTGGTGCCCTGCATCCCCCGCGCCTGCATCATGACCATGCACCAACCTTACCCACCTTGACGCACCGTCGATGATCCTTGCCCCCTGCTCCTGCCCCGCATGCCCAGACCGGCCCCTCTCCCTCTCCCCTCACCCGACATCATAATTTTCATCGTCATCGCTGCTCTTGTCTTCTTCTCCTATACCACCCGCCGTTGTTTGCTTAGCTGACCTTAATCCAGCCCCACCCATTACACCCATCTCAGCTCTGGCTGGCCCCCACGAGGGCTTCGACAGCTTGACTTCCTCCCCCGACACCGCAAAATTATCCTCTGTCCTAGCATTACACCCCAGCGCATCCTCCGGTACTTGACCCAACATTAGCCTGGCCCGTCATCCGGCCAAAGTACCGTCAAGAGCATCTTCCAACAACTTCCCTTCACCACACCACTGTTCCTGCTACGTTCTACCCCCTCGTCACACGCCCATTACCCTACCTCGGCTGCATCGCTTCAACACGTTTGGGTTTCCGATTACTGCATAGCACCTGTGCGACCGACGCTGGGGAAGCAAACAGTTGCCAATCCCGCCTAGGCAAGTTGCCACCAGACTCCGCGCCGCGACATCACAAGACGGCCAACCGTACCTTCGGCCAACGCTCCACCCTTCACCCACCTACCAACCCTTCCCCTCCGTCCTCCCTACCTCTCTCGACGCGACACCCATCTTGACCAATCACTTAAAGACTACGACCCGTAAACCCTCGCGGGCTCGTTGATCCAATGTACAACAACGGCCGCGCCAATACAGGAGTATCGCCCGAACAACGGCAACCCGATCCTCACAATCGACCACCTGTCCACACACCGACGTCCGCACGATCAATGGCCGCCGCTGGCATGGCAGACTACACCAATAGGTTGGCCCCATCTTATCAGGCCGCCCCCGATCCTCCAGGTGTCGGGGGCGGTGTATGGGCGCCACCCGGACAAGGGGGCTTTCAACAGGCTCCGATGTTCGCACCACTTGGCCCACCGATGGGTTACGATGCGGAAGGAATGGGAAGAGACGCCCGGTATGGATATCCCGGAGGCCAGCCGCAAGGAATGAACGGTTATCTACCCCGACTAGACATGGGCTACATGAACATGGGAGGTGTCTGGGATGACAACCAAACCTCGCCACAGCGGAGAGACGGCGAGCGTGGCCCCCTGTCCGCGGTGACAGACCCCGGTTCGCGCCCTCCGACGAGTGGGGCAAATGGTGTTCCACCAGGCTACCCCGGCGGCGTTCAAGTGAAGGAGGAGCCACCGACCAATGGCCAGCCCGTCGTCGCTCAGCCGCAGCAGCCCGAAGACGGCGAAAACAAGCCAGATCACCGCAAGCGAAAACGCAACCGCACTATCCGGTCCTGCGTGCCTTGTCACAATCACAAGCGAAAGGTGAGTGGAGGGCACCTTGGCCCATCAAGACCATCCTCGGTCTTCAAAACAACACTAACATGCATTAGTGCGATCGGAAACGTCCTTGCGGAAGATGCACTGCTCTTGGCCTAACTGGATCATGCGTGTACGAAGTGGACGAGGCTCGTGATCCGTAAGTCTTAATTAAAGAGTAGCTCCGAGGCTCTCGAAGAAGTCGAATCTAGGTTTCCTGAAACTGATATCATAGGAACGACCCAGATGTCATCGAAACGGACCGATTGCGTCGACGCATCGCGGAATTGGAGCAAGTCGTCCGCGAATTGCGCCAACGGCACCCACCTCGTACATCGGCCGCTCAGCAGGCTGCTCAACAGGCTGCTCAACAGGCTGCTCAACAGGCTGCTCAACAACAACAACAGCAGCAAGCCCAGGCCCAAGCTCAAGCCAACGATGCAGACAAGCGCCGTGTCTTAGTTGACCGGTACGCTCGCTTCAAGTCGGGTGAGGTGGCCGGGAGAGCCGTGGTCCCTACCGCACCGAGCCTGCATAGTATGTCCGAACTCTCCCCAACGGCATCCTCGGCTAGTGGTCGACGCGACCATTATACCGAGCCCTATTCGGCACACGCACTTCCTGGTGAAGAGCTCGTCTCGGACCCCGCCGGCCGCAAGACCTGGCTGGGTACGCCTGCCGGCAAACCCATGTTCAGACGTCTGCGTGAGATTGTGCATGGCAAGAAGATCGACGGAACGCTTCCTGAGGACGCAGCTTTCACTGGTTGGTTCGCGTCCACTCGAAAGACGTACCCTTTCACCACCATCTGGAGCCATGACAACTTCATCGACGAGATCATTGGCTTGTTACCCTCGGCGGAGGAGGCGGAGCTGCTCTACGAGTCCTTCATCACCGAGATCGGGTGCATGTTCCAGGCCTGGCACGAGGGCAATCTTCTGGCCGACTTCCGCGCATTCTTCGCCTTGTCGGCCGCCGACAAGAAGACGCAGCCCCTCTCGCACTTGTCCCTTTTCATCATGATCTGTGCGCTTGGCTCCATGGTCCGAGCGAGCAGCAACGAGATTATGGGCGAGGGCAACGAGGGTTCGCCCACGTCCACTTCCCAGCGAAGTGATAAGGGCGACTTGACTAGCAGCCGTCTCCAGAGCGAGCTGTACCTGTCTGCCGCTTATCAGGCCCTGCGCCTGTGCTCGTTCCAGTCCAGCCCCACTATTGCCACAGTGCAGTCCCAATTCCTCGTTTGTGTGTACCTGCTCCACAGTGAAAGGGCCGCCGACTCTTGGGGCCTGACTGGAAGCCTGGTCAGGCAGTGCATTGCCATGGGCTTGCACGTCGATCCGACTCACCTCGATCCCAAGGTTAGCCAGAAGGAGGCGGAGATCAAGCGACGTATCTGGTGGTCTGTGGCTGGCCTCGACGCGCTTCTCTGCGTTTCGTTCGGTCGACCGACCATGATCAACTACTACACTTGTGCCCTGCCACAAGACGTGACCGAGGAGTCGCTGTCCGAGGAGACGGGTTCCGCAGTCCAGGCCATGATCCCTCCGCCCTCCAACGCACTGGGACCAGAGACCACCGACGAGACATTCCACGCCGCGCTCTTCCAGCTCACGTTGCCATCGGTTGAGCTGCTGAACCGTGTCTTCCACGTTTCGCCTCTCGTCGCGCGCAATGCGTTCATGGGTTGGTTCACGCCATCCACCTTTGAGGAGCCCACCGTGCCTCCTACCGTGGTCGGCAACTCGTACGAGGATGCCATCCGACTCGGTCGCGACATCTTCGACTGGTATGACCACCTGCCCGAGGGCATCAAGTTCGACCCCTCAAAAGACCTCGACCAGCTCCAAGGTCGTTCCGGCGTCCGCATCAATCAGACCCTTGCGCTGTGTGTCAAGACCTTCATTCTTGTGTACGTCAACCGGCCCCGATTAACCCCATCTACAGACAGCTGACAGCAACAGCCTCATTCTCCACCGTCCCTACCTGCGAGCGGACCCCTCGGCGTACCCCGAGTCGTCGTCGCTCTGTGCTCGTTCTGCTCACATCATCCTCCAGGCGTACCACGCTATGGCTCGGAGCAAGTCCACGATTGCGTGGTCGTGGTGGACAATGTCGTATCGCGCCTTCCACGCCGGTACCGTGTGCGCCTTCCTTGCGATCCGCGAGCCCGGAACCGCCCTTGCCGAACGCTGCCTTGCCGACCTCCGGTCTGCGATTGCAATCTTCGAAGATCGAACTCAGAACTGGAACATCTTGCACCCAGTCCAGTCCGACCTTTGCACTGGTCTCGTTCGGTTAGAGAAGCTGGCGACGGCGGCTGCGGCCACGTCGCCGGGCTTGGGGGTTGTGAGCCAACAAGGTGCGCACTCTTCGGCGAACGGCACTGGCGGTGCCGGCAACGGTCTTGGGACACCACAACTCCAGGACCAGCCTATTTTCCCAGGCTTATCGTTAGACCCACACTCGGTCCCTGCCTTCCCGAGTGCGATGAACGCCGAGGACCACGAGCGCCAGCACATGGGCGAGGGCTCGACCGGGTCGGCCAACAGCCCGCCAGGTCTACTCCGCCGCGAGTCCGGCCCCTTCTTACAGCCGTGGGCTTTACCCGAGAAACAGGTCAATTGTCCCTACGGCCACACGGAGAGCCTGGCTCTGCCTCAGGTGGGTTTAGTCGCAGTAGACCCATCGGCCGTAGCTGACGTTGTCCAGATCTGGGCGTCCATGTTCAACATCAAGATGGACGAGCCGGGCGTCAACGAAAGCATGGGTCCGCCGCAAATGCAGACGCAGCCCTCCGCCGTGTCGGCGCATCCGCACTGACTCGCGGCGTCCTAGTCTCCGACATACACACCGACGTTTCGTCCCGCCAACCACAAGTTTCCGAATCTGTTCCGATCTGTATCGCGTAGCGCCCACGGCGACGTCCAAACGAGGCGACGTCGCCCAGCCCTGCTTCCTGTTTCTGCCTGTTTCCATCGCACCGTTGCAATCTCCAAGCATACATAGTCTCTCTGCCTCTGAAAGAACCGAAACTTGCCATATCGACATCGACAAAAATACTGCCATAGACACCCGCACGCACGCACGCAAGCAATACAACACCACAATCACCACATCACATCATCACATTCATTCATCAGTCCAATCGCCAATCTCGTGTAGCGCCGCCCACTGTATTCTTGTGCTTTCGTATAGACCCCATGCAGCGATAGTGTACTGGACAATTTCTTCTTTCATTTGCATACACTGGCTATCGATGCTTATAAGTTCTTGTGTCTACTGCTGAATAACGAACTGGGGCTCCTCCTGAGCCTCCTCGGGCGCGGAGTCGTTTTTGGGTCCGTTTTTGCCCTTGCCAACGTACTTGTCGAGCCAGGCAAAGACCTCATGGTGCCACTTACGCGAGTTGGCAGCCTTGAGGACCCAGTGGTTCTCGTCGGGGAAGTAGACGAGGCGACTGGGCACGCCGCGGACCTGGAGGGCCGTGAAAGTGCCCAGCGCCTGCGTGACGGGGAGGCGGAAGTCCATGCCACCCTGGAGGACGAGTTGTGGCGTGTGCCAGTTCTGCACATAGTTCATCGGGTTGTACTCTTCGTACGCGTCCCTGTCGCTCGTCGGAGTGCCCCCAAAGTCGTGAGTGGGGAACCAGAGCTCCTCCGTCTCATAATAGCTGGTCGTCGTGCTGAGCATGCCGTCGTGGTACACGAGGGCCTTGAAGCCGAACTCGTTGTGGCCCTGGATCCAGTTGACCATGTAGCCACCGTAGCTGGCGCCCAGGGCTGCGGTGCGCTCCTTGTCGATGCCGGGGTAGTGCTCGAGCGCGGCGCGGTAGCCGAGCAGCAGGTCACGGAACGGGCGCGAGCCCCAGTGCCGCGCGATGCGGTCTGTGAACTCCTGGCCATAGCCCGTCGAGCCGGTCGGGTTGACGGCGACAACGACATAGCCCGCCGCAGCGTACACGGCCGGGTTCCAGCGCGTGCTCCAGCTCTCGGTCCAGGCGCCCTGCGGGCCGCCGTGGATCAGGAACGCGAGCGGCCACTTGGCGCTGTCGTCCTCTGAGTATCCGGGCGGCTTCAGGACCCAGGCCATGACGCGCCAGTCTTCGTCGCCGCGGAACCAGAGCGCATCGATGTCAATCTTGTCCAGGCGGCCGCCGATGTGCTTCTCCGCAAAGTGCGTGAGCTGGTGCAGCGCCTCGGGAGGACGCTTGTCCGGGTCGCCGTGGCCGCGGCCAGGTCGGCCGTGGTCGTGGTCCTCGACTGCCTGAGCGACGGAGTGGAGGTACGCCTCGTCCTCGAGGTCGAGGAGGAAGAGCTCGGTCGGCGACGTGAACGAGCTGATGGACAGGAGGAAAAGGTCCTTGCGCACCTGCGTAATGGAGCTGGTGGAGCCGTGGAAATGCAGCGGGGTCGGAAGAGCTCCGGGGGCATCGAGGTGGTACGGCACGTCCTTGCCGTGGTGCTCGGCGAGGACGTAGAGCGAGTCACCGTCGAGGTCCCAGTTGACGTACGAAGGCGAGCGGTCCCACTTCTGCGTCCACGCCTCGATCGAGCCGCCGACAAGCCCAGGAGTGTACACCATGACGACACGGCGATCAGACTCGTATCCATCCTGCGCCATCTGGAGCCAGGCGAGCTTCTTACCGCCGGGGCTGAAGCGGACGCCGCTAACAGCACCGTGGTCAGTGCTCGTCAGCTGCGTCACCTTGCCGCCCTTGTGCGGCAGGAGGTAGACATCGAGCCTGGTGTGAAGAGCGGGGTCAATGTCCGTCGGCTTGATCGCGAGCGCGATCTCCTTTGGCGATACCGAAAACTGATCCTTCGAAATAGCGTCGACCTGGCTGTACAGCCCGGTCCCGGCGAGGAGGTTGGTGAAGCGCGAGCTGGCCTCAAAGACCTCCTCCTCATCCTTCTTCTTGCGGTGCAGCTCCGTCGCCGCGAGGGTGTACACGCGGCCGGGGATGCGCCAGGTGTCCCAGTGGCGCACGAACAGGTCATCGTAGACGTATGCCGAAGTTCCGCGGTTGTCCCACTTCTTATCGCCCTTGGCGGTCTCCTCCAATGAAGAGTCGGCGCCCCAGACAGCTGCGCTGAAGACGAGCAGGTGGCTCTCGGGCTCATACGTCAGCGCACTGGGCTCCGTGCCCTTGGGCAGATCTAGGAGGTGCATCGTCCTGATTGGGTCGTGCTTGATCGAGAAGTGGTGCATCGTCGTGCCGTTCAGATAAGCGACCGTGGTGTCAGACAGCCAGATAAGCTCGGACGCGCTGCCCGGGGTCGCAGCAAACAGCTTGCGCGGCTTGGCCTTCTCTTTGGTCTCGGTCAGATAGACGGTGCGGCTCATCCTGACGGTTAGCGATACGCTCGATCCCCCACTTGGCCCATCTAGTGCGCCCAAAGATAGACATGAGCACCCTGCACCTGTCTCGCCCCTGTTTGCGCTTGCACCAATGCCCATGCGTACTAGCAGGACTTACGTGTTGGACTTCTCCTCCCATTGATCCACGACGGAGATGGCACTGCCGCCGTTTGGCGCAACGACGGGCGCCTGTGGGCGAGGAGTGCTGAGCATGTCCACAGGAGTGAACTCCTTGGATGCCATGACGCCGAGGGCGAGCATGCCCAACGGCGCGAGCTTGGAGAGCATCTTGACGGGCGGTCGAGGATGCCGGATGTGTCTGGTTGGCAGAGAGGAGGAAGGACGTCTTCACTACGCGCCATGCGTCTGGGAGCTGGCCGGACGGTCAGTCAGCCAGTGACGCAAGAGGCTAGCTGGATGCCGGGAGTATTTCGTCCGGTCATGACCGTCGACCGTGACCTTCCACCGCCGTTTGCCACCCGATCTCGGTGGTCTATTTTCGTCCCTAGCTCTGCGTCGACATCGGTCTCGCTCGCTCCCACGAACGTGTGTCTGGCTCCTCATACGACCATCTTCCACACGCCTTCGATCAGATCTCATGTTGGCGGTCCTCGTCTGACCATCTGGTTGGACGTGACTGATCTTTGGGCGACCGCGACATGAAAAATGTTGGGATCACGCGTGCCGCACGCGAAGCCCGGGCCCAAGCTCACTGAATTCTGAACAGACCCCCCGTGCCGGAGATCTGGGACCAGTGCGCAATCCTCGCTTCCAGATCCCTTGCGTATCTGCAGCAAATGCGGACATGCACCTGCCACAATGGACAGAACATGACCCGTAAACGAGATAGGCCAGTTCGCGTGGATTGGACCGCCTCCTCATTGCAGATATGCCGTCTAAACTGGGAGCTGATAGCAGATAGTGTCGATAGCGTCGAATGATAAGCCTCTCTGTCTTTATCTGCAACACTGCCAACGTCACCGGAGCAGCTTTTCTTCTCCCTTCTGCATCCTGTCTCGCCAGAATCTTGTCTTCTTGCATTCGTTCACTCAATCTCATTCACTTGCACATTGACCACATGACCGCCTTCCCCGCCACTGGACGGACAGTCGACATGAGCCACCACTGCCCACCGACGACAGGCACTGGCCGCGCCTTCCCTACCGATCACCCCTCGACCCCACCGACATAGCCTCGCGCACCAACTCATGACAGCTTTGCTCGCCCACCTCGCCACCCAGCCAAATGAACAGTGGTCAGACCTTGGTTCGACATGTCCTCAGATCTTGAAACACAACGTCGGTGGGGTCTCGGTTTCTGCCTGATCCTCATGATGCCCTTCGGCAAAGTCGATGTTGCCACATGGTGGTCCAAGCTCATGCCATTCGGGTGCCAAAGGTTGAGGCGTCCGGAACGGGTCATGTGGGTGGAGGATGATTGGGTGTTGTGTCTCCTGCAGCAGCACTGCAGTGCTCGCCCATGGTGGGTGACATTGCTTGGCATCTTTGGCTAAGTTGACACGGCTCCGGTATGCGGCCCCTCGATCTCGTGACCTCGCTTGGAATAACACCAGGAGGGGTAGCGGGATGCGTCGGCGCATATCGCAGCCTTCCTAGAGAGGCTTGCAGGCGTCTTCTCGGGCCACTGTATGGGAAGCGTTGCCGCCGGGAGGTCACGGTCGATCTGGGTCCACCTTCCCCCACTTTGGATATGATCAGCAAACGTTCCGGGTCGGGGCCTCAGTGCCACACTGCAGCCCACCGCCTTGGCACGCGACGATCAGGACATGGCTTGCGTTTTCATTCCCTCGCCCCATCTCCGACAGCGGAGGCGTGAATCAAACCTTAGTCTTCGCTGTGAGTGCCTGCTATGGCGCTTGCAGAAGCTACCTTGAGCCGCAGCCTCACCCCCCGCCTCATGCCTCAAGATCCCCCACATCTTGCTGCACGAATGAGCCGGAGTATCTAGCCGAAGCCTGTGCGCACTGTCCTTGCTTATGGTCAAGCTACCGGGATCCACCTTCACCGGCCCACCGGGCGACCGGCCGGGGCGACCGGGCGACCTAGGGAGCCAGCCACAACACCCGTCGGCTTGGCGCTGATTTCGCATCCCCCAGCTATTTTCGGCAGCAAGTGTTACGCGATGCTTGGTTCGTCGTTTTCGCCCTCTGTTCAGGTCGTTTGTCAAGTCCTGCCTTACCGTGAACACAGTTGATACGCTGGCATGGGTCATTGGTCGCTTGCATTGGGCTGCTTCAGGCTGCGAGCGTGTCTATCGCCGAGGACATGACCACTTGCACGGAACGAGCGGAACGCACAGAACGCTGTCCGAGCCAACTGATATGACACGATCCACGACAGTTTATGCTTAGAGCACGCCGTGTTCCGAGTGTGTGCACGACGCACCGCGCGTCAATAGACGCTTGGCGCCTGTCCCCGTTCGCGGATATGACCAAACCGTTGACATGACCAACGTCGCAATTGCATCCTGAACGTTATGGATATGGCCTGACCCACGAGGCCGACTCCGACAGCGTAGTCCGACATCCTCTCCCGACGGGCACAACTGCGTCGGTGGTCTTGACGACCTGCGTCGAAATTGCAGATGGTCTTACGCCATATTGCAGATTGCGGCTTCGTGCGGCAGGTGATACCAGGCCGTAGCCGCGTCGGCCGTCCAGGCACGGCGTGTATCGAGTGGCAAAGGCCCGTTTTTTTCGCTGATTGGAATCTAGGGTCAGGCAGGTGGGAGACTGATCCAATGGCCCTGCCGTTCGTTATCCTCGCGCTGAGCTCTGGCGACGAATCACCCTGGGACGATAGCTGCGAGCGCACACACTCGTTGGAGCTGTGAAGGTGCTCTCCCGCTCGCCCGTGGCCCTCCCTCAACCATGGCCGTGTGCACGCTCTGCATTGTCATGGTTGTTGACGTGAGCAGCCCCATGTCGGCTGAGTCGCAGCCCGCAATCCCGACAACCCGACGCAGCTGCCCGGTGCGCAAGCTGTGCAATTCACGCTAGGTCTCGATCAATTTACTGCCGCGGCAACAACCAGGCATGGCTTGGCACGTTGCCGTGTTTACGAACGTCGACCGAACGCAACACAAGCGTGAATCGGACAGATGAAGAAACCTCAGCGAAACCAGGCACACGACCTCGCTAAATACCCCAGCCTGCCCCAGGTGCCTGCTTTAGAGTTTGGACGCGGTGCCATAGCCGCCGGGCCGCCTCTCGCCGCCTCATGTCTTCGACCGACCCACTGCCCCTGTGCCCTGTTTGCTCACGGTGCCTCCGACACCCTCACCTCTCCCTACAACCTGCAAGCCCTACCGCCTCCAGTCCCTTCGACCACACACAGGCCCATTGTGGGCCCCAACGCCTTCGCCTCTTCGGAAGGACTGCGCCCCTTCTTCCCCAATGTCGCCAATGCCAATCGAAGAGTGAGCCTATGAACAAGTGTGTGCGCGTGAACCCGTGTCGGGCTTGTCGGGTGTGCGACCAGATGCCTGATGGACCTCTGAACTTTCCGGGCTGTCTGTCCCTCCAAAGCTGAGGACATGACTAAGGTACGCAAAGTCCTGTTTGCCCGGTCGGGTCGAGGGCTCGTCGGGTTGCGTTCCACGGCTCCTAGCCTGCGTAACAGATTAGAATGCCTGCGTGCGCATGACCAACGGAACGCCCTAGTTTCCAACCAGGTTTCTTCCAACCGATCTCCCGAGGTCGGCGCAGGACCGGGGAGATGATTGGCAGCCCCCGGCCTCCCAACCTGCGTTCGGCCAGCTCGAGCGGCAGGAACGGTAAGGAGTCGAGGAACGCCTAATGTCCGTCCCCTGCTGCCGCTCCTGGAACTCCTGGAGCTTTGTTGTTCCTCGCGCTCCTGTGCAGGCTCCTGCAGGTGAGCCGCAGGACAGTTCAATGAACAGACGATGAGCGAGAGAGTGGAGTTGTGACTGGTCCTCTGCCGCTCGTGCTCCTGTCCCCCAGCCACTTCTGGAGCTCCTCCTCTGCCCTTGCGCTGCGCTCTGGCGGGGGCGCCAGCACTGACTCTTCGGTGTGTGCAGCGCACGCTCAGAGGTCGTGGGGGCCAGTCTCCCCAACCACCCCACGCCCCCGGGTCAATGATGAAGACGTATAAATTATGATCCTCGCAGGTATCACCAAGCCCCTCGTCCCCCCCAGCTCCACGAACGACCAGCCGGCCTCGCCAGACCACAACCTCCTGCAGCACCACTCCGGGGTAACTAGCGACACTTACTTCTTCATCTTAAGCGCCCACTGTAGTCTCTCCCACAATGACGCAGGCTCTCACCGACGACTTCCAGTACGCTCCTCCTCCGAAGCTTGCCAACCCCGGCCCTCTGGGTGAGTCGTGGGGGCTGTCTCTCAGTTTCAGCAAGGCTGCGCTAACGCTTAGGTTACTTCTCTCTCGGAACGACGACGCTTCTCGTCGGTCTCATGATCTACGGCGTCCAGGGTGTCCAGTCGTTGGCCATGCTCATCGGACAAGTGGCGGCAGTTGGTGGTCTCGGCATGCTCATCTCTTGCTTCTGGCACTACCAGCAGGGTTCCAACTTCGGCACTGCCGCCTTCGGCATGTACGGTCTCTTCTACATCTCTCTCGCGATCGTCCTCTACCCCATTGCCGGTGCTTCTGCGGGCTACCCCGACGCGGCCGACTACAACACGGCGCTCGGCCTGTACCTCCTCGTCTGGTTCCTACTCTCGCTTGTCATGTGGCCCGTTACGTGGCGCATTAACGTCGGCCTCACCGTGCTCTTCACCTTTGTCTGGCTCTACTTCCTCTTCCTCGCGGTCGGCTTCATGATTTCGCACAAGCAGGTCATCAACACCGGCGCCGCGTTCGGTATGTGCGTCGGTGCCTGGAGCTACATCCTTGGCATGGAGCACCTCTACGCTGAGGACGACTGCTTCATCAAGATCCCCAACCCCAGCCTCGCCAAGAAGCGCGACTAAGTCTTGTGCTTAGACGAGGGTGGTAGCGCAGAGCCATGATGCGTTACGCTTCTCAAATAAGCAATGAGTCCGCAGCGAAGGGAGTTCAGAAGTTCAAGCAAATTCGCAAGTCTCAGTAATATGGCCGCCCTAGCCGGCCACAATCCTCAACCATCCATGCCTGCCCCCGTTGCCGCCGGGAG